TCTCTCTAGCGCATTACTAGTAGGCGACGCACCCCGACTACGCGCATGCCGCTGGAGAGCCTCTTGTAACCTTATCCAGGGGGGTTCGTGGGGTACCTTGGCGAGCCGAGCCAGGTGGCGGCCGGAGGCCGCCCCCTAGCCGTCGCAGCGGAGGTTGGTCGTGAGGGTGGCGAGGGCGGCGCGGTCCGCGAGGCGGCGCGCGTCGTCTTCGAGTCGGTGGGAGAGGGCGCGGGCCTTGGACGTCCAGGTGCCGTCGACGAACTTGAGGCCGGAGATCAGGTAGCGCGCGCGGTACTTCGCGGCGGTGGTGCCCCACTCGCGGTGGAGCTAGTTGCTGAGCAGGGCTTTCGCCTGGTCGGGGCACGCGCAGCCCATGGAGATCCAACGCGACTCGGAGAGCGCGGTCGCGACGTCCGCGAGCAGGGACGAGACGTCCTTGGAGGCCTCGGAAAACTGGCCGAAGACGAGGCCGACGCAGCCGCCGAGGGAGCTCAGCGCGCGGAGCATCGGGCCGTCGGAGACGCCGTTGATCTCAACGTCGATCTGCTTCGCGTGCGCCTTGTATTCGTTGTCGACGTAGGACGCCCGCTTGTCCACGGGCGACGCGCCTCTCCGCGCGGACGCCGCGGTGGAGTAGTAGTTCGAGTCGGCGGCGGACCAGGCAAGCGTTTTCACGTCGAAGATGCGGCGGACCTTGTCGAGGGGCTCGACGGCGAGGTCCGGCGTCACGTTCTTGACGCGCCGTTCGACGTTGGAGAAGGGCACGAGCGCCGCGCGGTTGACGCCCGCGCCGTCGCCGGCGGTGGCGTCACGCGCGTCGCCGAGCATGACGGCCGCGTCGCGCTCCGAAGCCAGCCGCGCGCGGCCCGCGGCCGTGAGGCCCGTGGAGAAGAGCAAGCCCCGCGGCTCGCGCTGGGCCGGGAGCCCGGCCTGCCGCGCCGAGTCGTGGATCTGGGCGAGCACCGCGTTGTGGTAGTCCGTGCGTCGCGACTCGAGGTTGAGGACCGAGTGCTCGGTGCTGAGCTTCGCGCCGTACGCGTCGAGCTTCGCGCCGCCGGGCAGCGTGCGGCCGATGAGCGGCGCGCAGAGGGGGCTCGGCGTGCCGAAGTAGCACGCGTTCGCCTCGCCCCACTCGGGCGCGGAGAAGACGCGGCGTTCGACGGGGATCGTGGAGAGAAAAGCCGACGAGAAGCGGTCGACGCAGAAGAACGACGCGGCGCGCGGCGTGCCGTCGTCCTTGACCTTCCGAGCGTCAATCCGCAGCTCGCGCACGGCGGCCTTCTCGCGCTCCTTGCTGAGCGCCGCCTGCGCTCCGGCCTCGAGGTACGACGGCTCGGACTCAGAGAGGAGTCTTTAAGCGGCTAGCAGCCTACTAGGGGTGACTCCTCGCCAAACGCACCAGCTCTCTCCCTT